GGCTCATCCACTGCAGCAGTGGCATAAATTGGGTTGAATAAGCAGCTCATGGTATAGACATGTTTCTATTAAGTGTTAAATAAAACCCATTAAGGTGAATGTCAAGGTGGAAGCTAGGAAGGAGACTCTCACCTTTGCCTTGGTGCTCACATATCTCCAGCCTTTACCCTTCTGAGTGAGAGGACATTTAGTTCTTATCCAAGAAGCCCTTATGACCTCATTCAACATTAATTACCTCTGTAAGGGCCCTACCTCCAAACAGAGTCATATTGGGCATCAGGCTTCAACAGATAAAGTTGGGGGGTGCAATTCAGTCCGTAACACCTCACCATATATCCTTCTCTTTAATCAGCTGAGTCAATTTTGGGGAATGGGGCTTAAAACCTCTTGCATCACTAGGTTGAAAAGTTTATTTTTCTAAGATTACAAAAACAATCTATGTTCACTGCAGAAATATAGGAATGTGCAGAACATGTTTTAGAAAAAAGGTCATCATAACCCCATCAATCAGATTAGAGCTTCATTAATATTTTAATCTTACATTTAAGATTTTTTTACATAGATGAGTTCATACTCTATGTGTAATTTCTGGTCCATTTTTTTTTAATTTGGAAGCCACATGATAAATGAAAAGCCTCAAAGTAGAAGATGCGTTGCTCTCCAAATTATTACTTGAGGGGACCTACCCATCCACTAGGACATTAAATACAATTTAAACTTGTAATGTGTTGTGTGTTTCAGTTGTTATTTGAGGATAATTTGCTATTTGAGGCGAAAGGTGCTCTCATACAAACAAAAAGGCATTGGAGGGTTCTAAACAGAAGAGTCACATAATCTCACGTAGTATTAAAACCATCAGTCTAGTTTCTGTATGAAGAACAGATTTTCGGGGAGTGGAACCAGGGCCTGTTCAGAAATGACTGATATGGTCCAGGCACCACACGTCTGTGACTTTCACAAGTGCAAAGATGCTAGATACATTAGGATGCATAGTTTAAAAGGTTGGTTTAAGCAGATGAAAGAATGGAGTTATTTAGTAGCATGAAAAAACTGGGGTATTTGGCTTTAAACATAAGGGGATGACTGCAGACCTCTAAGTGGAGATGGTTCCAGCAGTTGGATACATAAATCTGGAGTTCACAGCTGAAATAGGAGAATTAGCTATGAACAGATAGAAAAGTACTGACTAGAATAGCTATAAGCTAAACATAAGGATGATTTCCATATACAGACTCTTCAACCATGTTCAGGAGCTTCATTTCTAATTTGAAAACCATAACTATTATATTTATTTTTCTTGTATGGCAATTGTAGTTGAAATATAGAACATATATTACAATTTGAACATTACTATGAGTAATCTTACTATATAAGTAATGGAAGTTCATGTCCTATTCCTATTTTAATATACAGCACAGTAAGCATATGTTTTAATATCAAGAAACTGCCAAACTGTTCTCCAGTGTAGGTACTCTTTAGTGTTCCCATCAGTATTAGAGTTCCAGTTGCTCTGCATGTCTTCTAGCTCTTGGTATATCCAGGCTTGTTTTTGTTTTTCATTATATATTTTCAGATCTACCAGTACAGGACTGCATAATTTGGGTAGAATATTGTTGTCATAATACAAAGTTCACTATTTTCATTTCTATATATTTTGAGTCCATTTTTTAAAAGAATATAGCTACATTGCCAAAATTTTAATATTGTCTCCAAGAGTCTTTGAATCCTTTGTATTAATACTTTTCATTAGAAAATGGCACCATGTGAAACTTAAATCAATCTTTCTATTTTCTTAGATCAAATTTTATTACTCTTGGCCAAAGTCCTTTCCATGACTTAGAAGGCAAAGATCAGGTAGAACATGATCCTTAAAGAAATTTATGGCATATATTTGAGTTCAGAGAATAGAAAACAAATATGATGTAATAACTATTTTAAAGATTCTGACAAGTCCAGCAGCAAGTAAATTTATTTTAGTTTGCTCAACTTGCAATTTATCAATGATAATTTACTAAAGAATTACTGTTAATCTAATACTTGCGAACACCTGTGAGAAAATGTGTTACATGGGGATTTCTGTCTCACTTACGGTCTCTATAGGGCCATTTCTCTGTTTGGGAAAGAATGGACACCTACCTTTGGTAATGGGAATTAATGACCATGATCTGAGGGAAAAATCACCATAAAAGACTTGTATGTGCCATGTAGCATAGTGTTCTATACTACATGCAAAAGTGTGTTTCTAATAACACCAGCAGATCAGACAAAGTCCTTTCCCTAAATATCCATCACAGAACCTGCAGCCTGCTGTTGAAAAGACCTGTGAACCTTCTTTTATGAAACAGAGTTGAAGCAATTCATCGTAGACATAAATCCAGTTCTTATCATTCTCTAGGACATGTGGTTAGGAATTTCTCTCTCGTTTCAGTACCAAGAATAATATGTTTCTCCTGAACAGCATTTGTGCTATTTAATTTTATGGATGCTATGAATCACCTACCTAATCATGTTTCCCACTTCAGATGGTTTAATATGTAGCTTAGTGCTAAATTTAGGGCATAAATCTGGCAAGTGTATAAGATTCCAGTGGTGGCACACTAAACTGACCCCTGAATTCACAGTGATTCTTGCTGGTATTTTCCTTGCTTAATTTTTATCACCTATATCTCTCTGTTTTATGATAAAGCTTTATCGAGTGTATTGGTGTAAGATGCATTCATTTCTTCTTGTCATGTGGCAAATAATTTTTTAAAGTTTCGGTCAAATTAGAGATAGCATCTAGGCCTCAGTTGTATTTTGGCTCCAGGCCCAGAAAAGGAGCAGAACCAGATGAAGTGATGCCATGGCTGACATCAAGACCAACTGCACTGATCAACTACCCCTCTCCTCACCTCAGCCCAGACCAATCAGGAGAGACTACAAACCTGACCAAGACCCAAACTCCCTTAGTCCCATGAGTAATGATTTCCCCCCCTATATAACCCATTCCCGGGGAAGCCATACTTGAGCCAGGTCTCTTAGTATTAGTTCACCTGTGTCTTAGCACAGGCCACTTCTTACAAATCAACCCCTACTTTCTTTGCTGCATGCTCCTGCTTGTGTCTTATTGGGCTTTGATGTGGACCCCTTTACTCTGGTGACACTAGATGGAATAGCCTACTACTCACCTAGGTTATGTGGTATTGCCTATTGCTTCTAGGCTACAAACCTACACAGCATGTGACTGTAGGCAATTATAACACGTTGGTAAGTATTTGTGTATATAAACTTAAAAATGGATATGGTAAAAATATGGTCTAAAAGATTAAAAATGGTACAGCAGTATAGGGCACTTACCATGAATGAAGACTGCAAGATTGGAAAGTGCTCTGGGTGACTCAGTGAGTGAATGATAAGTGAATGTGAAGGCCTAGGCCAGTGATGGCGAACCTTTTGAGCTCGGCGTGTCAGCATTTTGAAAAACTCTAACTTAACTCTGGTGCTGTGTCACATATAGAAATTTTTTGATATTTGCAACCATAGTAAAACAAAGACCTATATTTTTGAGAATTATTTTATATATTTAAATGCCATTTAACAAAGAAAAATCAACCAAAAAAATGAGTTCGCGTGTCACCTCTGACACGCGTGTCATAGGTTCGCCATCACTGGCCTAGGACATTATTGTACACCAAGCACGTCAAACTCACGGTCTGCGGGCTGCATACGGACCACAACGAATATTTTTGCGGCCCAGCCAATATAACGGTGTGTAAGAAACGTTTTAATAAAAATTTCATAACTGAATTTTTACAATATCCTGTTATACATAATTAATAATAATGAGCTACAATGTTCGCTAATGATTGATTACTATAATCGTGTTGCATTCATTTCCCTTACGCATCTTACAAATGGGTGCACCATTTCTCTCCACTAATACTAGCAGCAAATATTTTAACAACCTATTGCCATGTCATTAGTCTTGGAAGACTTGTTTGGTGTGTGCAACAGAAATATTTCGCTTTCGGAGAACAAGAAAATAGGTTTATTTGCATTACGCTTATTAACTTGTGCAGTTATTCAGTATCTGGTTAGTAATGTTCAAGAAAAAATATTTTTATTAAAATGTTCTATTATTTTATGTTAATGATTACTCATTTATTTCAGCCCTTTGTATTCAGAATGTCTCTATCGAAATAAACCTACGTTTCTATTGAAATTGAAGATTTTGTGTGTTTTTTGTGGCCCACATAGACTTAAACCTGGTTTATTTGGCCGTGCTAGCCTTTGAGTTTGACATGCTTGCTGTACACAATGAACTCTAGTATCACACAAACATGTGAGTAATGTGTTGCTCTTGGACTTTACCACAGCTACGATGTCACTAGACAATAGGAAATGTTCAGCTCCATTATAATCTTTGGAATTAGCACTATGGACTGAACTGGCATTAAGCAGCACATGACTGTAACAAATGTTTGTTTTCTAAAATTTAGATACGTCCTGAATCCTCTTACTCTCACATCCATGCTATCTTTAAGTCTTGTCTATTGTACTCCTGATACTGGCCAGGAAGATGTCTGTTTCCAACCTGGGCCCTGTATATCAGAGCTATAGGGAGAGCAAGAGCAAGGAGAATGTTTGAAGCATCAAATCCCAAGGATCTTCCAACTTTACAGATCTTACCATACTATGACAAAATATGTTTATCTAAGACTGTACAATGCCCTACTCTGAGCATTCATGACTTGAGTAGTGGATTAGGAGCCTTGATCATGCCTGCATTAGGGCAGAGGCCTCTAAACCCAATCCCAATGGCAAAGAGAGCATAGCTGGTAGGTTCCAGTTCCATATGAGTTCCCTCCTGCAGCTCAGTCTCTACAACTATGCAGGGATGCCGGAAGTGTTCTTACTTAAAAACGCATCAAAATGTGATCTGTACTAGCCTTTCCTGGTTTTCATCTTTACCATTTTCGATATTCTTTTAAGATAATAAAAATATATACTACGCTGCTGTAAAGAAGGAAGGAACTCCTACCATTTGCAACAGCATGGATGGAACTGGAGAGCATTATGCTAAGCGAAATAAGTCAGTCAGAGAAAGATAAATATCACATGATCTCACTCATTTGTGGTCAACCAAAGGACTTGTATGCATACAAGTATATAAGCATAACCAATGGACACAGACACCAGGGGGGTTAGGGCATGAGCGGGGGGGGGTGAGGGGCAAGGGGGGATAAGAACACATATATAATACCTTACTCAATAAAGAAAAAAAATGTTTGGCAGTTTTGTATAAACTTTCCTCCAATTTAAATAAATTTCTCTTAAATGTATTTGTATTGTTCCTTGAAAACAATTATATATATTTCTTAGAATTTCTCTTTTTTCAGAAAGCATATCTGGCATTTCATGTACTTAATACCTCTGAAGCACTGAATATTTCTGAGTCTGCAAATACATAGATATGTGGTGTCTTTTTGATAAGTCAACATATCTTGAGGTAAATCAGTAAACAATGGCATTCCTCCTACAAGGACAGTATGGTTCCCTATCTCTATTAAATTTTTAAATACACATATCATTTGCTATTGTGGTCGGCAAACCGCGGCTCGCGAGCCACATGCGGCTCTTTGGCCCCTTGAGTGTGGCTCTTCCACAAAATACCGACTTCGGCGCATGGGCCACAAAGTTTCTATCGCACTGTACGTGCGCGCCTGCACGTGGTATTGTGTGGAAGAGCCACACTCAAGGGGCCAAAGAGCCGCATGTGGCTCGCGAGCCGCGGTTTGCCGACCACGGTTAACTGATATCAAAAGAAAAACACTGAGATGTCTTACAGACAAAGAACCTCCTCTTCATCTTAAAGAAAGCAATACTGGTTCCAATGGTGAGTTCATGGCAAACTGATTTTTAATATTTTTTTATTCATTCAGGGACACTTTAAGTTATGCATTTTATAAATTAATTAACCATTTATTATTTGTATTTAAATAATTTCAGTATACATTAAACACTTATCTTTGTTGTGTTATTTTTAATTACCATCTGTATATAGACAGTAATACTGAGTATTCATTTATATTTATAATATAAAGTTTCTCCTTTAAACAATTTGATTAATTTTGAAATGAATTAAAGTCATTCAATAAACAGTTGTTCTGACAAAATGTTCAAAATTGAGAGTTGCTTAACTAAAGTTTGACTCATATTTTATTATCTCATTTAATCTTAATCTTATGAGGCATGCATTATTCTATTTTACAAACATGAGACCCTGGGGTCAAAAAGAGTAGCTAAACTATTCAAAGTCAATATATTTATAACTTTTAAAACTATTTTTTTTCTAAGTGAGAAATTTAATGAACTGAATGCTATTATTAACATAAAGGAAACGGTGTAATATATATGAAATGATCATTTTATGTCAGAAAAAATATCTCATGTTGGCAACAGGACAGGCCCTGAGGCTTCAAAGAGGCTGTCATATTCCATCAACCCTGGCGACAGGCCCACAGGCACTTTGGTGAACATGCTAATTTCTCAGTATAAAGTGCCAGTTCCCTGAGTGACCAGATTCAAAGATCAATATGCTCAAGGGAAATACAATATGTTTTACCATCACTGTACATGAAAGGCGACAAAGGTCAAAGCTAATATTGAGGCCCCTGCAGTTCTGTTAATGCAAATTATGTGAGCCCATCCTTGGAATAGAATGTGCTCAACTTCTTAGCAGAAATGACTTAAAAGGGACACCAAGCAGGATATAGAATGTAGTCATTCTGACCAGTCTGGGAGGTGAAAACTGAAATCGTGACATCTGATTCAAACACTAGGAATATTAAAATATATATAATGTAAGTTAAATTTTTAAAAACTGGAATTTTCCCACCTACTAACTTCAGAATGTTTTTACATGATATACATTTTTTTGCATTCTGTTTAGTGGGAAGCAGTGAAGTATCTAAAAGGCAATGATATCCATCAAACTTGAGTGGGAGCAGACATTTATCGCACATTGGAAGGAAGCAGTATTCTCGGCTATTTCTCACTCATCCATACTTCAAAACAGAGAACCCCCAGATGCTTCCTGTTTGAGGTTCTGAATGCTGGGCCTGAACTAAACGCAACTCATGACATGATGTGCAGTTGGAGAGAGGGAAGGCAGAGAGAGCAATGTGAAAGAAGCAGTCACTTATTGGATTTGAAATGCTTTTTAGAACTGATCTAAAGCAATTTACTTCTATCATTTAACGTTATCTTAGAAAAGCAAAACAAGCTAACAAAAAAGAGAACATCCTTCAAAAAGTAACTCTCATACTGTTTGTCCAACTACTTGCAGATTATATCAAAACTGGAAGTGGTCTATTTTTAGGGATTTATATGACATTTATTATTAGTCTGGTTACCAGTGTAGCACAGAATCTTGGTACTGAGACTACCAAACCAAAAGCTGCACTTTGGCTAGCACCAATAGGTTAGATGTAGCTTTTCTCTTCCTACAGTGTGACTGTGTGTGTGTGTGTGTGTGTGTGTGTGTGTGTGTGTGTGTGTGTGTTGTACTTCAAAAAACCACATGGCACTGATATATCTAAGAGTAAATGGAATATGTTTAGATTAGACCATCATGACTGAGCCAAGTTGTTTGATAACTCTTCAAAATCAATGCTAAGTCAAGGCCTACTTTATTCTCAACATGCCACATGATAAAATTCAGGCAGTCAGATTCATGTAGGTTGTAAGAATGTTAAGCATAATAGCTACTATCACTTGTACCTCAATTTCCTACAAGTTTCTTTATGGGAAAATTGGGTACTCAGAATCAACAGCATGCCACTCACAGAGCTGGAAGAAGACAGTACAGTGGGGCCTTGACTTACGAGTTTAATTCGTTCCAAGACCGAGCTCGTTAGGGAGCTCGTTAAGGAGCTCATTAACTCAAATTACTCTGTCAACTCAATGCAAAAAATCGGCCGAGAGACAGCTGGTATCTCAAAAAACTCGTTAGTCGGGACACTCGTAAGTCAAGGCCCCACTGTATAGGAAAGAAGCTGCAAAGAATCGCAGCTGGTTAGGGAACCTGATTAACAGGCTGAACAAACACTGTCATCATTCTTCTGCCAGATTGCTCCAGGGTCAGACAGAAAGTGCTCTCCTTCAAATCAAATAAAACTGGACTAATTTAGAAAACAAAACTCCCAATACTGAACTAGCAGAGCTGACAGGCGGATCCCCAGTGCCACACTAGGATACAGTGTGAATCCCCAGGCTCTGGGCTTGGTCTGGTATACATTTCAAACCATTTACTGGCTCTAGTAAACTCCAAAAAAGTCACATAATGCTTTGTTTCTTCTATTTGTTAACTAACAAATCATTTTTAAAATAATTTATAAAATAATTTTATCTTTCAATGATACTTATTTTTTCAATGACTGTTTGTTGAGACTTCCATTTGCCTGGCACCTCACAACAGGGGATACAAGGTGACTGTGAATTATATATAATGAATATAACATATATAATATGTAAAATAATACATGCTTTTTACTATGTTACATATCCTAGATATTATTTATATAATTATGTATTCAATGACTGCTTTCATTAGAAGAAATTACCACAGAAAACATAATATTATAAAGCATGATCCTTCCTCTTTACCTCAATCCTACTTTCTAGAAACAGGATTCTACTATTCACAGTAGAAGCTATTTCCGTGACTACTCTAATTTTGACTCATCAGTTACCACAGTTTTTACTGATCCCCTTGCCCTGGAAACTGAAGATTTAGCTCACTCATGCCATCACACTCTCCCACATCTCCTCCTTTAAATGTCCTTGTAACTTTGAATACATATATTTTTAAATCTGTGTTCCTCGTTCAATGACGTTTAGTGGTATCCCTTGCCTCCTATTTTTTAGCAGCCTTGTTTTCTCTCCACCTTGTTCATGCCAGTTTCACGGCCAAGTCCCTTGGTGAACTTTGACAAAGTCCATGCTAATACACGAATCTTTTTGCAATGCCAACCAAGTCATACATGATTTGTCCACTCTAAAGGTTATAAATAAATAAGCAAGATCTGAATTGTATGCCTATGTAAATAATGTTCACTCCTGTCCAAAAATTATATATTGATTATATTTCTTTTTTTGTATGTTCAAATGTCAGGAAACCTGGACTATGCAAGGAAAATGTTAAGACACTCACTGAACTGTTTAAAATCATCCCACATTTTAGTTTACTTCATATTTGGAATATAATTTACTTACTCAATTTATTTCCCAAGTTGTTTTTAATTGCTTTTTTTGTACTATTTGCCTTTACAATACATCAATTTTTTTCTACTTTCAATTGTATCATTTCCAATGATTCTCAAAGTGTAGTATGCAAAACTTTGTGGTTCTCCAAGACCCTTTGGGGGCTAAAAGGTCAAAATTATTTTTATAATGGCACTAAGACATCACTTGTCTTTTTCACTGTGTGTAAAAGCACTGGTGGGTAAAACTACTGACAATGAGCAGGCAGTGCACAACACAAAGGAAGATAACAGTTGTATTTTAGAATGTCCTCGCTGAAACAGTTAAAAAATGTTAATTTTACGAACTCTCAAGCTTTGGTTGAACATTTCTGTAATGGTCTGTGACAAAATGGAAAGTACCCCTGAAGCAGATTGTTGTTGCATATTGAAATATAATGGATGTCTCCAGAAAAGACACCTTTATGACTGAGTTGTGAGCTTAGCCACTTTTTTTTCATAAAAACCATTTTAACATCAAAGAACAATTGACAAACTATGGTTATACAGACTTTAGTATTTAGAGATATATTCCAGGCATTGAACTAAATAAGCCCTCCAATTCAACAAGACGAAAAATAACTTGGAAAAATGTTTTAGGCCATCATCAGGTTGATGGTATAATTCAGTGACAGATATTTTCCAAATGACCAATGCATGTTGTTACAAAAATTGTCCATGGATAAAAGATTTATTCAAAGTGCAACACAGACCGAAGTATTTTTAAAAAGCTTTGTTGAGGTATAACCAACATACACTAAGCTGTACATATTTAAAGTACACTGTTCATATATCTATCTGTACACACAGGAAACCATCACAACCAAGATGATAAACATATTAGTCATGCCCCAAATTTCATCATGGCCTTTATACTATGTCCTTCTACTTCTGCCCCTCACACACCACCCCGCAAATCCATCCCCATCTCCAACCAACCACAGCTACCTTCTGTCACTACCAATTAGTTTACATTTTCTGAAATGTTCTTTAATGGAATAATATAGCATGAACTAAGCTCTTTTTCTCCTGGCTTCTTTCACTCAACATTTGTGAGTCATCCAACCCGTTGTGTGTATCAAGTTCATTCATTTTTATTGTCGAATAATATCCGTCGTATGCGTATACCACCATTTGTTTATTTATTCATCTGTTGATGAACTGTGAGTTGTTTCCAGTGTTTTACTATAACTAATAAAGCTGCTGTGAACATTCATGTGTATATCTTTGTATGACATATGCTTTAATGTCTCTTGGGGAAATACCTAGGAGTGAAATGGCTGGATTATGTGGTAAGTGTATGTTTAACTTTTTAAAAACTGCTAAACTGTTTTCCAAAGCAGTTATACTATTTCACAGTTCTACTAGCAGCATATGAGAGTTCCAGTGCCTATTCTTTGAAATAATGGGTATAGTCAGTCTTTTTAACGTTAGCCTTTAAAATAGGAATGAAGAGATCTAACACTGTGGTCTTATTCCACATTATCCTAATGAATATTGAGTATCTCTTCATGTGCTTATTTGCTTCCTATATGGCATCTTTTGGTGAACTGTCTGTTCAAATCTTTTGCCCATTTTTCTATTATTTTAGTTGTTGCTTTGTTTTATTCTTTTATTGAGTTTTAAGAGTTCTTTACATATTTTTATATGAATCTTTACATATATATATATATATATACACATGTATATACGTGTGTGTGTGTACTTACATATTTTTATATGAATCTTTACATATATATATATACATGTATATACGTGTGTGTGTGCTTATATATATATATGTATGTAAATGTATATATGACTTGAATTTATTTTGTCCCAGCCTCTGTCTTCTCTTTACATTCTCTTAACAGGGTCTTTAAAAAATGTTTTATTTTGATGAAGTCTAACTTACCTACATTTTATTTTGTGTTTTGTGTTTTTGGTGTTATACTTAAAATACCTTTGTCTAACCCATGGAAACAAATATTTTCTTCTATATTCTACATGTTTTATAGGTTTAGGTTTTACATTAGGCCTATGAAATGTTATAACTTAATATTTGCATATAGTGTAAAGTGTGGATTAAAGGTCATAATTTATTTTGCATTTGGATACTCGATTGTTCCAGCACTATATACCGAAAAGACTGTATTTTCTCCACTGAAATGCTATTGCTTTGTTAAAAACCAGTTGTACCTTTTTTTTTTAATCCTCACCTGAGGATATCTTTCCATTGATTTTTTTTTTAAAGAGAGTGGAAGAGAGAGGGAAAGACAGAGAGAAATATTCATGTGAGAGAAACACATAGATTGGTTACCTCCTGTAGGAGCCCTGACCAGGGTGGAGCCTGCACCCAAGGTACATGCCCTTGACCAGAATCAAACCTGTGACCCTTTGGTCCGAAGGCTGATGCTCTATCCACTGAGCCAAACCGGCTAGGGCAACCAGTTGTACTTTTATATATGTACACCTATTTCTATGTATTCTGTTCCATTCATGTATTTTCCATCTTTATACCAATACATTTTCTTGATTATTGTAGCTTTATAGTATTAAAATCAGGTAGTATTAGTTCTCAAACTCTTCCAGATTTAATGTTGTGTGTGTGTGTGTGTGTGTTGTACTTTTATATATGTACACATATTTCTATGTATTCTGTTCCATTCATGTATTTTCCATCTTTATACCAATACATTTTCTTGATTATTGTAGCTTTATAGTATTAAAATCAGGTAGTATTAGTTCTCAAACTTTGTTATTCTATTCAAACTTATTTTGCATATTCTAGATCATATTAAATATAAATTTTAGAATTTGTATGCCATTTTTACCAAAATAATAAACTGATAGAGTTTTAATTACATGTAATCTATAGATCATTCTGGATAGGATTAACATTTTAACAATCTTGAGCCATCTGTATATAGACATTGCATAAGTTTTGTCATCTTTGTCACTATTTCATAATTTTTATGCTATTAAATGATATTTTTTGCTTTTAATTTTTTTGTTATTTGCTAATATATAGAAATATAGTTTCATAATTTTTGGTGCTATTGTAAATGGTATTTATTTTTCACTTTCAATTTCTTGTTGTTACTTGCTACTATATAAAAATAAAATTAATCTTATATTTTACATCCCACTACCTTGCTAGCCTCACTAGTGAGGTTTAGTAAGTAGTTTGTACATTCAGATATTATATATATGTGCATATATATATATATATATATTTATACAGACATATATATGTCATCTGAGAATAAAGACAGATTATGTTTTTGTTTTTATTTAGTGTACAGTATTTTCCAATTTTCTTTGGAAACTTCTGGTCCAAGTTCTTATAAAGAGCAAAACCTACGATTTATTTTTTGATACATAGTTATTGCTCTTATTTATTTTCCAAATATTTGTTTTCTAGAGATTATTATTGATTTCTACATTACTAGTATATTGTTTAAAAGATACTTTTATAAGACATGTATTTCAAATTTATTGAAGCTTGCTATATGTTTTCTGTATGTTCTGTCAATACTTTGTGGTGATTTTTTCTTCTTTTTCTCCCTAGATCTTTATTGCTAGAGAGTTTTTGCTATAAACAGAGCCTTAAAGAAAAGGTGTTTTTTTTGTTTTTTGGGGTTTTTTTTTTTACATAATTGTGGTTCTAGCGATTATTAGCAGAGGTTGATATTACCATCTTTGTGAAGACATTTAATCATCCCTGTAATTATTAATGGTGTCAATTAATTCATTCTAAAGTTTTTTAAATTCTTATTAAATTACCAGTGTGCAGATATTGATATAAAAATAAATGGCAATGGACCTGTTTCTAATTTCCAGGAAAAATTTAAAGCAAATGCTTGTCATAACTCCTGCTGCAAACAAGTCTTACATAAGAGATTTCTTATTCATTCAAATTATAAAAATCCCAAGAAACTTTGGATGAAATGAGATACAATAGGATATGACTTTTACAGAACTTATTAATTTTTTAGAATCACCATAAAGTGCAAACCTATTTCAAAGCAAGTTACAGGAAGCTGGAAGAAATATTGACATGAACTCTGAAAATGGAGATATTTGGATGACTTCAGTCTTCATGGCTACGAGATCTTAAAATAGGGAAGGCCTGTTCTCTAGATTTCACGGAGGCAAATTTGGCATAGATCTGGCCTGTCTGGAAAAACTCCACTGTGCTGATGTATAAAGCAGAGTTAAAAGCATGTCTCCTTGGCATGATATGGCCACATAGAGAAGGATGCATATGACTCTTCCTCAATGAATGTTCTTGCTGCTTTGAGCTAAGATTTCCGTCTTCCCACCCCCACCACCGCTCCAATAACCTTGCAAATATTTGTACAGCGTGTACCTGATAATATTTTTAAACGGCACAGGCCCCAGAGAGTTAAGAAGGCCTAATACTGTATGCCTAGAACAATAATTAGTAAATGCTCTAATGTATTTTCATTATGGTTGGTTCCCGGAGTCTGGTCCAAGTTCTTATAAAGAGCAAAACCTCAGTAAATATTTTCGAGTGAATAAATAAATGTCAAAACATGCTCCTTTCCTTCAGAAGAGAACACTTTTTTTGTGGTATTTTCTCTATGGACTTTTTCTGACTGCAAGGTTATCATTTAATGTAGGAAACACTGAACCTAAGCATATAATTATGGCCATTATCCGGGCTGGTAAAAGAAAACTCTCCTTACCTCCAAAAAGAACTGCAATAGGGTTGTATAAACAGGACATACAAAGATGAGTCACAGTAAAATGTAATAGCAGAATCAGTAAGAGCTGCAGAAATTAAGAAGAGTGAGCAAAGACAAGATAGGATATGAATAGGATGTTGACATTTGGATGAGATTAAGAATAAATATGTAGGCCGAAACCGGTTTGGCTCAGTGGATAGAGCGTCGGCCTGCAGACTGAAAGGTCCCAGGTTCGATTCTGGTCAAGGGCATGTACCTGGGTTGCGGGCACATCCCCAGTAGATGTGCAAGAGGCAGCTGATCGATGTTTCTCTCTCATCGATGTTTCTAACTCTCTATCTCTCACCCTTCCTCTCTGTAAAAAATCAATAAAATATATTTTTAAAAAAAAGAATAAATATGTAACTGGGAGTGTGTATCTATAAGCCCTGGAGGCAAGTTCTGTGAACAAATCAATTGTTTCATTTTTCTAGGGCTGCTGCATTCCTATAGTGAGCGTGAAATCTGAAGAGGTATATAAAAGACAAATATGGAAGACTATAAATATCAATCTATGACAATTAAACCTGTGTTTTTGAAGAAAAGTTTATTTATGAAAATGGTATTAGCAGAAAATCAAATCAGCAGAATTTGATTTTAAAAAGACCAATCTATCACCGTTTTCTCTTGTGGAGTGCACTCTTGGTGTTCTATTTAAAAATCCATTGCTCACATTACAATTAGTAACACTTATTACAAAGCTACAGTAAACAAAATATATTGTAATTGCTGAGGTTGAAAATATAGACCAATAGAATAGAATTCAGAGTCCATAAATAAATCCATACATCTATATCCAGTTGGGTTTTTTTAGAAGAGTGCTAAGATGATTCAAAAGGAACAGAATAGTCTTTTCAACAAATGTGGCAAGATAACTGATATTCATATATAAAAGAATTAAGCTGAATTATTTTCCTTATACCATATTAAAAATTAACTCAAAATGATTAACAACCTAAACATAAAACTAAAATCACAAAAGTCTTACAGGAAAACATAGGGTTGAATTTTCATGACCTTGAATTTGGCAGTGGATTCTTAGATATAACACCAAAACCATGAACTACAATAGCAACAACAGAAACAGATAAATTGGACTTAATCATAATGAAAACTTTCATGCATCAAAGTACACTGCCAAGAAATGAATTGATGACACACAAAATGTGAGAAAATATTTCCAAATTATAATATCTGTTACCAGTAGAATATCCAAGATACATAGAGAACTCTTACAACTCAAAAACAAAGGTCAAACTTCCCAATTAAAAAATGGGTCAAAGACTTGAATAACCATTTTTAGTAAATAAGAAATATAGGCAGCCAATAAACACATGAAAAGATGCTCAACATTGTTCATTAGAGAAATGTAAATCAAAACCACTGTGAGATATCACTTCCCACCCATTAGAATGACTACTATTTAAAACAAAAACAGAAAATAACAACTGTTGGCAAAAATGTGGAGAAATTCGAACTCTCAGACATTGCTAGTAAGGATGTAAAATGGTTCAGCTACTGCAGAAAGTTTGGTGATTCCTCAAAAAGTTAAACATCAAATAAGCATATGACCCAGCAATTCTACTTCCTGATATATATATATATATACATCAAAGAATTGAAATTAAGTACTTGAATACTTACACATGTATGTTTATAGCAGCACTATCTGTAATACTCAAAAAGTAGAAACAACCCATGCCCATCAATAAATGAATGAGTAAACAAAATGTGTTCTATACATGCAATGGAATATTATTTAGTCATAAAAATGAATAAAGTACTTTTAACATAGTACAACAGACACAAAATGTCCAATTATATGATTTCATTTCTATGATATATTCAGATAGGTAAATTCACTGAGAGAAAATTAATGGTTTCTAGGGCAGCGGTTCTCAACCTGTGGGTCTCGACCCCTTTGGGGGTCAAACGACCCTTTCACAGGGGTCGCCTAAGACCATCGGAAAACACATATATAATTACATATTGTTTTGTGATTAATCACTATGCTTTAATTATGTTCAATTTGTAACAATGAAAATACATCCTGCATATCAGATATTTACATTACAATTCATAATAGTAGCAAAATTAAAGTTATGAAGTAGCAACGAAAATAATTTTACGGTTGGGGGTCACCACAACATGAGGAACTGTATTAAAGGGTCGCGGCATTAGGAAGGTTGAGAACCACTGTTCTAGGGGCTGGAGAGTGAGGGGTTATGGGAAGTAGGTGCTCAATGGTTATGGGGTTTTCTTTAGGGGTGATACATTTTTGGAACTAGATAGAAGTAGTGTTGCACAACATTGTGAATGTACTAAATTTCATTGAGTTGCTCACTTTAAAAAGGGTTAATTTTTGCCAAACCGGGTTGGCTCAGTGGATAGAGCATCGGCCTGCAGACTGAAGGGTCCCAGGTTCGATTCTGGTCAAGGGCATGTACCTTGGTTGCGGGCACATCCCCAGTAGGAGGTGTGCAGGAGGCAGCTGGTCGATGTTTCTCTCTCATCGATGTTTCTAACTCTCTATCCCTCTCCCTCCCTCTCTGTAAAAAATCAATAAAATATATTTTAAAAAAATAAAATAAAAAGGGTTAATTTTAAACTTATCTGTACTTCCCCTCAGGACTGATAAGCCCCAGTCCTGAGAAGGAGGAATATGAACATAAGTAATTCTGACATTTAGTGGTTCTTCTATATTAAATCATTTGCTGGATTATAAGTATCACCTCAGAAACTAAAATGAGATGAAGTTACTGACCGATCAGAAGCTTTACACAATTTTCTACAATCTGATGGGTAGGAAGGAGAATGAGTGGGGTATGAGAAAAAAATTAGAGCTCTATTTTCAATAATGAAGAAAGGCTCAAAGAATTACAATCTGAAATAAGGATAGAAATAGATCTCTCTCAAAAGACAAGCTCAACCACAAATTACCTCACTCATAATTGGATTAAGGCTATGTGCTTTTATGCTAAAAGAATCCCAGTAGTAAACTTGAATCCTTTCTGGAGGAAGATAAAGTCATCCAGTTCTCTAATAAAATAATGAATGTGCTTGTCAAGGTAATAAGAGCAAAGGTGGAGTGGAAGGGCTAGATTTAAAGTGGAGATAACGGAACCAACCACCTACCATCAATTTGTATGAGGGCACAGAAGGACTCAGAAAGAAGAGGCAATTTTGACCCAGTATGATAACTTGGGCATCTAGGAGGCTAGATGTGGTATAACTTGAGTAGGACATAACACAGGAAGAGTAGATTTAGGAAATGAAAGAGCTAATAAGTTTTGATGGGGATTTATTACACCTTGAAGCATCTGTGGAGATGTGTCCTATTACAGGAAAAGTGTCTAGGAAAACAATATTTTTTTATATGTCTGGACCTGACTCTTTGCAATTGCCATCACTGGGCAGCCTGACTATGCATGATGTGAATGCCACCTGGTGAAAGTCATCTGAAATGGCTCTGTGGTGAAAGTCTAAAATGTACAGTCATGTTGGTAATGCACTCTTCTAAGCGTGTAAAGGATGAGTGAATTTATAAAAGTGAAATGGAAGTATTACTTTACATATTTGAAGGAGAATTCATAAACCTCATAGTTAATTTTTTAGAAATTGGTAGCTCAGTATAGTTTTCCCATTCCACTGGAAACTCAATGATACTCAAATCACAGTTTAGCTCAGTATAGTTTTCCCATTCCACTGGAAACTCAAAAAATGATACTCAAATCACAGTATGTGCTGGAAATACAGTCTCCTCATTAGTTTGCTACTTTACAGAAGACATTCCTGCCTGGATCCCAGGTAATATATGGAGTTTTAATAATATTTGAAAACTGTGTATAACTAAAAGATTTATATTTTCAATTGTTTGCTAGCCTTTATCTAAATTACATTTATCTGAACACACTAAATTGTCATTTTCTTTCTCTCTCTCAGCACATTTATATAAGAATCCATTTTCAAAGACTTTTGAGAAAAAGTGGTTTATAAAGCAGGCTGGGCCATATAAGAAAGCAAACAATTGATACAAAATAATCAGTTTAGAAACAGATTATCTAAAGTAAAATATGAAATTATTACATTCAACACAAATACAGATCTTATAAATATATTTTACATTCATTATAATGAAGAGGGGCAGAGATCTAAAAATTCTGACTATACTGAATAGGCATGAAGAATGAATAAGAAGGGGGAAGGGAGTTGCATAGCATTTCTTGAGGGGAAACATGTATACCTTGGTTTTGGTAGAAAAAGTCCAATGTTTGATTTGGGCAATCTTTTTTTTTTTTTAATTGAACTATGTCCGTTTTCCGAAAAGTGGTGAAAGAGCGTAATAGCCAATCAATACCAACTGCTCCAGAATCTCAGATCAGCTACTGAGATTGGGGCCCACGATCACGCCTTCCTCCCGGAGCTCCCCGGTGCAGAGAAAACCGCACGGAACTCAGCAGGGCTGGGAGGGAGAACCTCCGAGGAGCAGGTGCAGCTTGTGAAACACAGGCAGGGAGGGAGGGAGGGGGGGTTTCAAGCAAAAGGAGAAATGAATTCTGCCAGAAAATGTTTCTGAAACATACAAAACCATAAAGCCAACCTTGAAACACGAACTAAAACGATACCTGAAGGTCTGAAGCTAGGGATGCACCATGTGGGGGGGACAGTAGGTGACTCGGGTGCAGCTGGAAGTGGTGGAAGGCAAACCGCCACCATACGGCAACCTCTTCTCTATGGCGGTTTAGTGAGGAAGGAGGGGAAAGCCCTTTCCTACAAAAACTCGCTACGACATGGAAGACCTTGAAGCCTCATCATCCATACTGGTGTGTCCTAGATTAGTAAAACGGCTCCTTGAAATAGATTTTTATTGCTTTCAGAGAGGATGGGAGACGGAGAAATGATGAGAGAGAGTCGCTGATCGGCCGCCTCCTGCACCCCCGCAGGGACCGCGCCCGCCACCCGGGCAGGTGTCCTGTCCTGACCCGGAATCCAACCCCGAGGTCCACGCTCAGCCTCCGAACCACACGGGCTGGGCCTAAACGTTCTCCTTTAGATGCTCCATATAAAATCAATTAATGGGAAATGCACATCTGATATATTTTGATTGTCAATAAATCCTCACTAGAAGGCCATAACATTCAGTAGCATGCTGCTGACTTTCCACTAGAAATGTCAAAGAGACACCACGTCAGTTGACAATGTCTGCAAACGTGACCGCCCCATAAAGTGGGAAATGTTTAACGTCACACCCTGTTTTCAGCAACTGGATCTGTAGACATTTGGGGGAAAGAGCTATGACCCGCAGCAAAAGGCAACTCACTGGCTAGGGAAGGAGGTGGCAGTCATTGAGATATCGACCTCAGGTGAAAGCAAGGAGAAAAGCAATCATTCTCCCCCAAAACGGGGAAACCTGGCAGGGAAACTGGTTCACACCATGGATTGCCAGTGGGGAGCAGCAGAAGGTTCCTGAAAAGTAAGGAATTCTATTTACGGTTTCGGTCTCCCGCTGCGGCATCGTGAGGTGCGGATGATGGTGCGGAACTGCTCCAGCTTCGGAGCCCCGCTCCTTCCCTACAACCTGCGGGGTGTCACCGCCAGACAGCGGGCTTGGAGCCGGCGCCCGCTGCAAAGGTGCGGCGGCCACCACAAAGCGGGGGTCCGGCCAGGGAAAGGCCCCCCCTGCGCGTGCAGACCGCCCTCCACCAGAACACTGGCCCCCTGAGCAGCCTGCGTGGGGCACCTGGTCAAGCACGTGATCCAGCACGTGGTCCTGCACGTGATCTGGCACGTGATCTGCAAGCACCAGTACTGCCCTGATTTGCTCAGGGCCGCCCACCCCTTCCCCTTAAAGCAATGGTTCTCAACCTTGGCTGCACATTAGAATCACCTGGGAATCTTTTTAAAATCCTGATTTCTGGGCCTCATCCTCCGGAAATTCTGTTTCTTTATTACTAATGTTGTGGCCCCACCCCATAACAAAGAAACAGAATTTCCGGAGGATGAGGCCCAGAAATCAGGATTTTAAAAAGATTCCCAGGTGATTCTAATGTGCAGCCAAGGTTGAGAACCACTGCCTTAAAGCAACTTTCCTCAAAAAAAAAAAAAAGTAAATAAAAATATAAATGAACAATGTGTCAAACAAAATTATGGTTTTATAAAATGCTTTTTTTTTATTGGTCTTCAACAGTCACGGATACAAAGTTATAAAGTACAAGTATTATGTCTTGAGTATCTTCATGTTCCTTCTGTTCAAAACCTCTTTGATCAAAACACAGGATTTGGGGGTCAATAGACTTAACTATACGGCCCAGCTCTGCCATTTAGGGGCACTTGCGTTTAGGCAAAATGCTCCACTTGCTAAGCTTCAATGGTCTCCTGTGCAGCCTCGGCCAATACGCACTTTAATGGAGCTGCTGCAAGGACTCAAGGACACCGTGGATTAACCGCGCTACGAATAGCAAACGGGTCCTGCACAATCAGCAGGGAAAAAATTAGATTTTTACAATGGCAATGAAGACTTC